ATCTTAGTGAAATGAACCTTTTAGCAATATTAATGTCTTGTTTAACAGTTTTTGACTTAAAATCTAATTTATCTGTTGTTAGTATAGCTACCTGCACTGTTACTTTTTTTACATGGAATACCTTTCTCCATCATTTGCCTTTCATCTATGCATGTCATTAGTTCTAATGTGCAGAGCATATAATTAGATACTGTCTTTCAATCATTTTGATAAACTACATCTTTTTATTGGGAAGTTTCATTAATTTCACTTAAACTAATTATACACAGGTAAGGATTACCATTTTAAATTTGTTTTTTGTATGTCCTATTGTGATTTTTCCCCTTATTTCCTTCATTACTATTGTCCTTTGTGTTGAGGTCTTTTTTTGTAGTGATACATTTTGAATCACTTCTTTTTTCTTTTTTTTTTTTTTTGGGGATGGAGTCTCACTGTGTCGCCCAGGCTGGAGTGCAGTGGCATAATCTCAGCCTACTACAAGACCTCTACCTCCTGAGTTCAAGCTATTCTCCTGCCTCAGCCTCCCGAGTAGCTGGGACTACAGGCACATGCCACCACGCCCAACTAATTTTTTTTTGTATTTTTAGTAGAGATGGGATTTCACCATGTTGGCCAGGATGGTCTTGATCTCTTGACCTCATGATCCACCCGCCTCAGCCTCTGAAGGTGCTGGTATTACAGGCATGAGCCACTGTGCCCTGCCTTGAATCACTTCTTATTTTCCTTTGTGCATGTTTCATTGGTATTTTCTTTATAGCTATCATAAGTATAGGCAACATCTTAAAGTTATAACAATGTTTTACATTGATACCAACTTCACTTCAATCACATATAAGAACCCTACTCCTTTACAGCTTCTTCCTTCCCGCACTGTTACTGATCTCATAGTACATCTTTACATATTGTGTACTTATTTACATAGATTGGTAGTCATTTTTATGCATTTGTCTTTTACACTGTATAGAAAATAAAAACTGGGATTACAAACTAAAATTCCTATCATAATGTTGTTTGTATTGCTTCATGTAATTGCCTTTAGTATAGATCTTTATATTTTCATATGATTTCAAGTTATTGTCTAAAATCCTTTCATTTCAACTTGAAGGATTGATTCCCTTTATCAGTTTTCCAGGCTGGAGTGCAGTGGTGCAATCTTGGCTCACTGCAACCTCCACTTCCCAGGTTCAAGCAATTCTCCTGCCTCAGCCTCCTGTGTAGCTGGGATTACAGGCGCCCACTGGCAAGCCCGGCTAATTTTTGTATTTTTAGTAAAGACAGGGTTTCACCATGTTGGCCATGCTGGTCTCAAACTCCTGGCCTCAAATGATCTGCCGGCCTCAGCCTCCCAAAGTGCTGAGATTACAGGCGTGACTGCACCCAGCCCCTTTATCAATTCTTGAATAACTTGTCTACTGGCAATTAATTCTCTCAGCTTATGTTTTTCTGAAAAGTTATTAATTGATCCCTCATTTTGGAAGTATAGTTTTGCTGAATATAGAATCCTCAATACACCAGGGTTTTTTTCCAGCACTTTAATACATCATCTGGCCTTGGAGACTTGCTGAGAAATCCACTGATGATTTTTTTTTTTTCCTTTTTCCTTTTTTGAGATAGAGTCTCCATCGCCCAGGCTAGAGTGCAGTGGCATGATCTCAGCTCACTGCAATCTCCGCCTCCCAGGTTCAAGCGATTCTCCTGCCTCAGCCTCCCGAGTAGCTGGCACTACAGGTGTGCACCACCACGCCTGGCTTATTTTTGTATTTTTAGTAGACACAGGGTTTCACCGTGTTGGCTAGTCTGGTCTCAAACTCCTGACCTCATGCGATCCGCCTGCTTCGGCCTCCTAAAGTGCGATTATAGGCATGAGCCACTGTACCTGGCCAGAGCCACTGATATTATTGAGGATCTCTTATACATGACAAGTGACTTTCATGCTGCTGCTTTCAAGGTGTTCCTTTGTCTTTTGATTATAATGTGTCTCAGTGTGGGTCTCTTTGGATTTATCCTACTTGAAAACAATAATTCAGTCGCGGCCAAAATGTGTGATTATTTCTCTTTTTGAGTACATAGTCACAGAAGTTCATGACCGTAGGTCCTTATGGAGATCTCTGGTAAAAAATTAGTGCTGTAAACTTTTGCAATCTAGCAGGGTCCATCCTTATCCAGAACTGCCCTCCCACCCCATCAAAGGAATTGTGGATTTGTAAACTGGACATGTCTTGGAATTTATTTTTGGGCTGTGAGTCTGCATTAGAGGATTTAAGTTACACTTTGGTTCACTTGAAATAGAAACTTTCTACCTATATAGATTATGTAACACTTTAATAGATTTCTCATAAACTTATTTATATATTTTTTTTTTTGAGATGGAGACTCGCTCTATCACACAGGCAGGAGTGCAGTGGCACGATTTTGGCTCATTGCAACCTCTGCCTCCTAGGCTCAAGTGATTCTCCTGCCTCAGCCTCCTGAGTAGCTAGGATTACAGGCACACACCACCACACCTGGCTAATTTTTTGTATTTTTAGTAGAGATGAGGTTTCACTGTGTTGACTAGGCTGGTCTAAAACTCCGCCTCAGCCTCCCTAAGTGCTGGAATTACAGGCGTGAGCCACTGTGCCCAGCCTCATCAATTTATTTTTTATATTATGGATAACAAGACCAACAAAGGAAAGTCAACTAGCCTGACTTGAAGCCTCCCTCCTTCTTCAAACACAGAGGAAGGATGATAATCTGTAATAATCCCCACCACTTGTGAAAATACACCCAAGTCAAAGTTATACTAGGGAACTCACCAGTGTCCATAAAAGAAAAAGGAAATCAAATCTGTGGTGAAAAATGGCAAAGAACATTAGCCCCACATAAGCTCAGGGTACTAGATATAGAACTAGGTATTTAATATTCAGTGTGGTTGGGAGAAACAGAAATATTAACCAGAAACACAATGAGTCCCACATGTTAACACCATGTTGTAACCAAGTTGATGATGCAGGACACACCAGAGAGCAGATATAGACCCTACCAAACTTTTAATAATTGTAATAGGCAAGTATTTTCTGTTTCACCTGCTGAGTATTCTGTTACAGTGACCTTGGAGATGAGCTATTCTGGTATCTGGTGACAGTTAAAAACCAAAACACACAAAACAAAAAGAAGACTGCAGCCAATAGTTTTCTAATACTATGTGCACAAAAAGTTAATATAACAGGCCTGAGACTGCAAATCCTAGACAGGACTGCTTACAAGACTGGCCTTTAGCTGGTGTTAGGATACATGGAGTTTGAGAAGGTTGCCACCATTCCATAACTGGTAGGCATGGTTCAAATTATTCTGAACACTTGCTCCCCTTCTTGGAGTCTAGAATCTTGATATGTACCAGAGGGATGATACCTACATGATTAGTCCCAATAAGAACCTTAGGTATGGGTTGATAATTAACTTCCATTGTAGACATTTCACAAGTACAATCACAATTCAATACCGGAGGAATTGCGACCTGTTACTCCATGCACAAAGGATCTTTACAAATTTATATCTGATTCCCTCCAGATATTATCCAAGAACCTTTTCCCTTTACTGATTATTTGTATCCTGTCACCATAATATAGGCACGAGTACAACTATATTCTGAGTCCAACCTGGAGAGATTGTCTTAGGGACCTCCAACCCACTATGCAAATTGAGACAGCATGGATGTTCATAAAGTACCTAGCATCCTGAAAAGATACAGTCTAGAACATTAAGAATGAAAATCAAATCTATCTCTAGTAGACATTTTGCTGAAGAAAGCCTTTTAATCTAATGTACCCAAAATATCACCACGGTGTCTATGAATAGAATGACACTCAATCCTGCTCTGTGTCCTAACTGGTTCCAGACTGTTAGAGGCCCCACTGCTGTCATGCTATTGTTCCCAACCCATACACACCTTTTCTTAAAAGAATCTTTGTTGATTCTTTACGTCCACATGTATACCCCTTTATTTCTATCTCCAGGATTTTTCCACTCCTTCACTTATGCTTAAAGCAAGCTCACATGCATTATGTACGAGGACAGCTGAAGACACTCACCAATTTTTCTCTATATTCAAACTAGAGAACATTTTGTTTGAAAACCAATTTCCACAATCCTATTCCTTAATTTTGAGTCATGTCATATTATTATATACTTGATACATACCCAAAGAAAAGGAAATCAGTATGTTAAAGTGTTATCTCCACCCCCTATGTTTATTGCAGCACCATTCACAATAGCCAAGAAATAGGCCAAGATATGTAATCAACCTAAGTGTCCACTGGATGAATGAATAAAGAAAATGTGACCGGTGGCTCAAGCCTGTAATCCCAGCACTTTGGGAGGCCGAGACGGGCGGATCACAAGGTCAGGAGATCGAGACCATCCTGGCTAACACGGTGAAACCCCGTCTCTACTAAAAAATACAAAAAACTAGCCGGGCGCGGTGGTGGGCGCCTGTAGTCCCAGCTACTCAAGAGGCTGAGGCAGGAGAATGGCATAAACCCAGGAGGCAGAACCTGCAGTGGGCTGAGATCCGGCCACTGCACTCCAGCCTGGGCGACAGAGCAAGACTCCATCTCAGGAAAAAAAAAAGAAAATGTGGCAAATATACACATTGGAGTACTATGTAGCCATGAAAAACAACAAAATTCTATTACTCACAGCAAAGTGAATGAGCCTTACAGGGCATTATACTAAGTGATATATACCAGGCACAGAATAATAAATACTACATGTTCTCACACATATGTGGAAGCTCAAAAAGTTAATTTCATAGAAGTAGAGAGTAGAATAGTAGTTCTTAGAGGTGAGGAGGCAGGGCGGTAGCCAAAGGTTGGTTAGTGAATATAGAAATACAGGTAGGTAGGAGGAATAAGTTCTAGTGTTTTACACCACTACAGGGTGACTGTAATTAACAATGTATTATTTTCAAATAGCTAGAAGAGTTAATTTTAAAGGTTCCCAACACAAAGAAATGATAAATGTTTGAGGTGATGGATACGTTAATTATACTGATTTGATCATTACACATCGTATACTTGTACCAACTATCACATGTGCCCCATAAACGAGTACAATAATTATGTGTCATTTAAAAATAATGACAAAAGCATATCAAGATTCAAGCGCCTCTTGTAACGCTTCCCACAGTCCTCACATTTAGATGTTTTCTCTCCCCTGTGGTCTCTTTGTTGGTCTTTAAGACATGAACTGTGTACAATGCTTTTCCCACAGTCCTCACAATGAAGTACTTTTTCTCTACTGTGGAGTCTTTGATGGGTTAGATGAGTTGAGGCCCATCTGAAGCCCTTTCCACACTTCTCACATTTGTATGGCTTTTCCCCAGTGTGAACCCTCTGATGGGAATGAAGCTGTGATTTGTCAGTAAATCTCTTCCCACATTCTTCACATTTGAATGGCTTTTCATCACCATGGAGTCTCTTATGATTCAAAATACTTGATGCCCGGCTAAAGCTCTTCCCACATTCTTTACAATTATAAGGTCTCTCTCCGGTGTGGACCCTCTGGTGCATGTCAAGATTAAACTTACTGTTGAAGCCCTTCCCACACTCTTCACATTTATATGGCTTTACTCCAGTGTGGACTCTGCGATGAGAATAAAGTTGTGAATTCTGAGTAAATCTTTTCCCACACTCCTCACATTTGAATGGTTTTTCTCCACTGTGGACTCTACGATGGGTATAAAGTTGTGAATTCTGAGTAAATCTTTTCCCACATTCTTCACATTTAAATGGTTTTTCTCCACTGTGGATTCTCTGATGATTCAAAAGACATGAGGCCCAGCCAAAGCTCTTCCCACATTCTTTACAATTATAGGGTTTCTCTCCTCTGTGGACCCTCTGATGAAAGTCAAGATCCAACCTCCTTTTGTAGCCCTTCCCACACTCCTCACATCTATATGGCTTTTCTCCACTGTGGGCTCTCTGGTGAGAATAACGTTGTGAATTTGTGTAAAATCCCTTCCCACATTCTTCGCATTTGAATGGTGTCTCTCCACTGTGGACTCGCACATGTCTTGAAAGACCTGAGGCCCATCTGAAGCTCTTTCCACATTCTTTACAATTATATGGCTTCTCCCCTGTGTGGTCTATCTGATGCTTATAAAGATCTTGCCTATAAATGAAGCGTTTTCCACATTCCTCACATTTGTACCGTTTCTCTCCTGTGTGGACCATGCGATGACTATTAAGTGCTGATTTCAGACCAAAGCTCTTACCACATATATCACATCTGAATGGTTTCTCTAGCATGTGAACCGTGGAATGCCTATTAAGATTTGCTCTACTACGGAAGCTCTTACAACATGTATCACATGTGAATGGCTTCTCCCCAGTATGGATTCTTTGATGTTCCTGAAGCTGGGAATCATGAATGAAGGCCTTCCCACATTTTTCACAAACATAAGGTTTCACTCCTGTGTGTAATTTACGATGAACATAAAGTCCTGATCTACGACTAAAGCCTTTCCCACACTGCTCACATTTGAATGGTTTCTCTCCAGTGTGGATTCTCTGATGAATTTGCAGATGTGAGCTCTGATTGAATTCCTTACCACACACATCACAATTATAGAGTTTCTCCCCCATGTGAACTCTCTGATGAATACGAAGAGCTGAGCTATAACAGAAACTCTTTCCACATTCATCACATGTATGAGACTTATCTCTTGACTGTAATTGTTGATGAAGATCAAGGATGGAGACATCACTAAAGAATTTTTTACACTTCCTACCCTCAGAAGGTTTCTGTCTTATGTGAATTATAGATAGTCCTGCATCAACCTGGCAGGGCATATCATCTTGTTTGGAGAACTGAAAGCTGTTTACCATGGAGTCTTGAAACCTGGTTAAGTCACTTGAAATTTGTTCGCAGTTTTGATGACTGAACAACCCTTCATGTGTTCCTACTTCTGGAACAGTCTCCATCTCAGTTTGGATCCTGTCTCCTATAATGACACAGAATTAAGAGATGTGGGCAAGTAAAGCCTTTATTCAATGTTATCAAGATTTCATACTTAGGACATAGCCTGAAATTGTATTAAATACAGGGAATGTTCAGATTGTGTTTTCCTTTTTTTAAGAGAGTGTCTCCCTCTGTCACCCAGGCTGAAGTGCAGGGACACAATCATGGCTCACTGCAGCCTTGACCTCCTGGGCTCAAGTGATCCTCCCACGTCCGCCTCCTGAGTAGCTAGGACTACAGGTACATACCACCATGACTAGCTAATTTTTACATTTTTTTGAAGAGACGAGGTCTTGCTACATTGCCAAGGCTGGTCTTGAACTCCTGGCCACAAGTGATACTCCCATCTTGGCCTCCCAAAGTGCTAGGATTACAGGCTTGAGCCACTGTGCCCAGCCAATGTGTTTTTCAAGTACACTATGAACTCTCGTTTGCATGAGACCAATTCAGAACCACACCAAGTGTCAGATGTGAAATACTTGGTAGAAATAAAACCTTACATGGTAAATAATGTAACTAATAAATTATGTAAACAGTGAAGTATGAATCAAATGTGAACTTTAAGGAGAAGCCACAACATCATCAAAACTTTGTATATTTTAGTTTGTATTGCATATCCTTATGAAGTAAAGAAATTATCCTAAGTCACAAAGAGGCCTGGGTGATGTCCTCAGCATCTGACAGGCAATCTCTCGGTCTTAAAATGTCATGCCTGAGAAGAGTGTCTCTGTTTGCCTGGAGGCAAACAAATATGAGGTTTCACTCCTGTGTGTAATTTACGATGAACATAAAGTCCTGATCTACAACTAAAGCCTTTCCCACACTGCTCACATTTGAATGGTTTCTCTCCAGTGTGGATTCTCTGATGAATTTGCAGGTGTGAGCTCTGCAAAATTAAAGCATCATATATGAAGGGAAGTGCTATCTCCTGGCAGGAGACCAACCAGCACAAAAATAAAGCATGAAACCACCAAAGCCAAGAAACCTCACAGAGTCCATTGCACACCCCAGCCACCTCCACCGGAACAGGCACTGATATCTATAGTTGAGAGACCCACAGACAGTTCATATCACAGGACTCTGTGCAGACAGCCCCCAGTACTAGCCCAGAGCTGGGTAGACTTGCTGAGTAGCTAGACCCAGAATAGAGACAACAATCACTACAGTTTGGCTCACAGGAAGCCACATCCATAGGAAAAGGGGGAGAGTACTACATCAAGGGAACACCCTGTGGGACAAAAGAATCTGAACAACAGTCTTCAGCCCTAGACCTTCCCTCTGACAGAGCCTACCCAAATGAGAAAACCAACTCTGGTAATATGACAAAACAAGGCACTTTAACATCCACCAAAAAATCACACTAGTTCACCAGCAATGGATCAAAAAAAAAAAAGAAATCCCTCATTTACCTGAAGAGGAATTCAGGAGGTTAGTTATTAAGCTAATCAGGGAGGCACCAGAGAAAGGCAAAGCCCAGGGCAAGGAAATCCAAAAAGCGATACAATAAGTGAAGGGAGAAATATTCAAGGAAATAGATAGCTTAAAAAAAACCAATACAAAATTCAGGAAACACTGGACACACTTATAGAAATGCAAAATGGTCTGGAAAGTCTCAGCTATAGAATTGAATAAGTAGAAGAAAGAAATTCAGAGCTTCAAGACAAGTTCTTTGAATTAACCCAATCCAACAAAGACAAAGAAAAAAGAATAAGAAAATATGAACAAAGCCTCAAAGAAGTATGGGATTATGTTAAATTACTAAACCTAAGAATAATCAGTGTTCCTGAGGAAGAAGAGAATTCTAAAAGCTTGGAAAACATATTTGGGGAAATAATAGAGAAAAACTTCCCCAGCCGTGCTAGATGCCTAGACATCCAAATACAAGAAGCACAAACAGTGCTTGGGAATTTCATTGCAAAAAGATCATTGCCTAGGCACATTGTCATCAGGTTATCCAAAGTTAAGACGAAGGAAAAAATCTTAAGAGCTGTGAGACAGAAGCACCAGGTAACCTATAAAGGAAAACCTATCAGATTAACAGCAGATTCCTCAATAGAAACCCTACAAGCTAGAAGGGATTGGGGCCCTATCTTCAGCCTCCTCCAACAAAACAATTATCAGCCAAGAATTTTGTATCCACCAAAACTAAGCATCATATATGAAGGGAAGATACAGTCTTTTTCAGACAAATGCTGAGAGAATTTGCCACTACCAAGCCACCACTACAAGAACTGCTAAAAGGAGCTCTAAATCTTGAAACAAATCCTGGAAACACATCAAAATGGAACCTCTTTAAAGCATAAATCATACAGGACCTATAAAACAAAAACATATTAGAAAGCAAAAACAAAAAAATTTAAAAACCAAAGTACACAGGCAACAAATAGCAAGATGAATGCAACGGCACCTCATATCTCAATACTAACATTGAATGTAAATGGCCTAAATGCTCCACTTAAAAGATACAGAACTGCAGAATGGATATGAGCTCACCAGCCAACCATCTGCTACCTTCAGGTGACTTACCTAACACATAAGGAGTCATATAAACTTAAAGTAAAAGGGAGAAAAGGCATTTCATGCAAATGGACACCAAAAAATGAGCAGGGGTAACTATTCTTGTATCAGACAAAACAAACTTTAAAGCAACAGCAGTTAAAAGAGACAAAGACGGGCATTATATAATGGCAAAAGGCCGGCCGGGCACACACACCTGTCATCCCACCACTTTCGGAGGCTGAGGCGGGCAGATCACGAGGTCAGGAGATCGAGACCATCCTGGCTAACACGGTGAAACCCTGTCTCTACTAAAAAAATACAAAAAAATTAGCCAGGCACGGTGGTGGGCGCCTGTAGTCCCAGCTACTCAGGAGGCTGAGGCAGGAGAATGGCGTGAAACCAGGAGGTGGAGCTTGTAGTGAGCTGAGATCTCGCCACCACACTCCAGCGTGGGCAACAGAGCGAGACTCCATCTTAAAAAAAAAAAGAAAAGAGAATTCAGCAAAGTTTCCGGATATAAGATTAATGTACACAAATCAGTAGCTCTTCTATACACCGCCAGCAACCAAGCAGAGAATCAAATCAAGAACTCAACCCCTATTATAATAGCTGCCAAAAAAAATAAAATACTCAGGAATATACATAACCAAGGAGTCAAAAGACCTCTACAAGGAAAACAACAGAACACTGCTGAAAGAAATCACTGATGACACAAACAAATGGAAACACATCTCATGCTCATGGATGGGTAGAATCAATATTGTGAAAATGACCATACTGCTAAAAGCAATCTACAAATTAAATGCAATCCCTATCAAAATATCAATATCATTCTTCATAGAATTAGAAAAAACAATTCTAAAATTCATATGGAATCAAAAAAAGAGCTCACAGAGCCAAAGCAAGACTAAAGCAAAAAGAACATATCTGGAGGCATCACATTAACTGATTTCAAACTATACTATAAGACCATAGTCACCAAAATAGTGTGGTACTGGCATAAAAATAGGCACATAGACCAAAGGAACAGAATAGAGAACCCAGAAATAAACCCAAATCCTTACAGCCAACTGATCTTCGACAAAGCAAACAAAAACATAAAGTGGGGAAAGGACACCCTTTTCAACAAATGGTGCTGGGATAATTGGCTAGCCACATGTAGGAGAATGAAACTGGATCTTCATCTCTCACCTTATACAAAAATCAATTCAAGATAGATTAAGGACTCAAATCTAATACCTGAAACTATAAAAATTGTAGAAGGTAACATTGGAAAAATCCTTCTAGACATTGGCTTAGGCAAGGATTTCATGATCAAGGACCCAAAAGCAAATGCAATAAAAACAAAGATAAATAATTGGGACCTAATTAAACTAAAGAGCTTTTGCACAGCAAAAGGAACAGTCACCAGAATAGACAGACAACCCACAAAGTGGGAGAATATCTTTACAATCTGTACATCTGACAAAGAACTAATATCCAGAGTCTACAACAAACTCAAACAAATCAGTAAGAAAAAACCAAACAACCCCATTAAAAAGTGGGCTAAGAACATGAATAGACAATTCTCAAAAGAATATAGATATATGGCCAACAAACATATTTTTAAAAAACTCAAAATCACTAATGATCAGGGAAATGCAAATCAAAACCACAGTGTGATACCACCTTACTCCTGCAAGAATGGCCATAATGAAAAATCAAAAAACAGTAGATGTTGGCATGGATGTGGTGATAGGGAACACTTCTACAGAGCTGGTGGGAATGTAAACTAGTACAGGCACTATGGAAAACAATGTGGAAATTCCTTAAAGAACTAAAAGTAGAACTACCATTTGATCCAGCAATACCACTACTGGGTACCTATCCAGAGGAAAAGAAGTCATTACGCGAAAAAGATACTTGCACACGCATGTTTATAGCAGCACAATTCACAATTGCAAAATCATGGAACCAACACAAATGCCCATCAATCAACGAGTGAATAAAGAAACTGTGGTATTATATATGATGGAACGCTACTCATTCATAAAAAGGAATGAATTAATAGCATTTGCAGCAACCTGGATGAGACTGGAAACTATGATTCTAAGTGAAGTAACTCAGGAATGGAAAAGCAAACATCATACGTTCTCACTGATATGTGGGAGCTAACCTATGAGGATGCAAAGGCATAAGAATGAGACAATGGCCTGTAATCCCAGCACTTTGGGAGGCTGAGGCAGGTGGATCACAAGGTCAGGAGATCAAGACCATCCTGGCTAATATGGTGAAACCCCGTCTCTACTAAAAATATTTTAAAAAGTAGCAGGGCATGGTGGCAGGCGCCTGTAGTCCCAGCTACTCGGGAGGCTGAGGCAGGAAAATGGCATGAACCCGGGAGGTGGAGTTTACAGTGAGCAGAGATCGCGCCACTGCACTCTAGCCTGGGCGACAGAGCGAGACTCCATCTCAAAAATAAAAAAAAAAAAAAAAAAAATGAGACAATGGACTTCGGGGACTTGCAGGAAAGAATGGGAGGAGGGCAAGAGATAAAAGACTACAAATATGGTGTAGTATATACTGCTCAGGTGATGAGTGCACCAAATTCTCACAAATCACTAAAGAACTTATGTAACCAAATACCACCTATACTCCAATAACTTACAGAAAAAATTTTTAAAAATAAAAATTAAAAAAAAGCTCCAAGACAAGTCAGAGAGAAGGCATATTACTCAGTGTGGTCATAAAAAAACCCTTAGAAGTTTCCATGGGATGTGGGTAAACTGCATGTACCTAAAAATAGTATCCCAACAAGTAATCCTAAGAAAGTTCTAATTAGATAGGCAGCCATCAAAAGATAGAAACATGTTCTGTAATAGCTCTCATTCACTCTAGTTTGTGTATTACTTATTAACTATCTATCTCCATGATTCCTGGAGACACTGAAGTTCCCCTCATCCATTAATTTATTTATCAGGATAACAAATAATTAGATACCTGCCATGTACCAGAACAATACCTTCTAGCCTGTGAATAGATAGCCATGAGCAATGAGCAAAACAGCTAAAATTCCTCCTCTTGGATATCACATTCCTGGGGGTAAAGGTGACAGGTAAACAGAAATACATAAAACACAGTGCAAGACAGCACAAGAAGAAAAAAATAGAACTGTGTTTTGTTTGTTTTTTTCAGACAGAGTCTCACTTTGTCACCAAGGCTGGAGTGCAGTGGAGCCATCTCGGCTCGCTGCAACCTCCGCCTCCTGGGTTCGAGTGATTCTCCTGCCTCAGCCTCCCGAGTAGCTGAGACTACAGGCACACGCTACCACGCCTGGCTAATTCTGTATTTTTAGTAGAGATGGGATTTCACCATGTTGGCCAGGCTGGTCTCGAATTCCTGACCTCAGTGATCCACTTGCCTTGATCTCTGAAAGTAGTGGGATTATGGGCGTGAGCTACAGCGCCTGGCCTAGAACAGTATTTTAAATACAGTAGCTGGAAGTGGCCTCTCTAAAACTGAACAGAGACTTGAATATACTTAAAGGAGAAGCCAGAAAGTTTCGAGGTGAAAGAGTATTCTGATCAGAGAGAAGAGCAAGTAAGGGCTCTCGAGGCAGAAGCTTTAGTAGTAGACAGAACAATGATTCATAAAAGATGTCCACATCCAGTACCCAAGACCTACAAACATGTTATATTACACAGCAAGGGGGACTGGGATTGCAGATGCAATTAAGGTCACTAATCAGCTAACTAGAAAGTGAGGTCATTGTGAATCATCCAGGGGTAACCAACACAATCATAAGGAACCTGAACAGCAGGAGACGGAGGCATAAGAAGAGTGGCAGAGTGAGCATGACTATGGAAGAAGGATCAGAAATGCAAAGTAGCTGCCTTTGAAGATGGAGGAAGGGAAACAAGAGCCAAGGAGTGCCTAGAGACTGGTAAACCAAAATAAAGGCTTCTCCCCAAGAGCATCCAGGAAGAAACAAACACCTACAGACACCTTGATAATTATCCAGTGAGATGTGTCAGACTTCAGGCCTAAAGAACAGAAAGATAATAAATTTTTGTTGCTTAGTCGAGTAAATGTGTAGTCATTGGTTACTACAACAGGCAATACAGTGTCTTTGGCAGGTTGGAGAAACAGTATGAAGGACAGTGTGGCTAGAAAGACAAGGCAAAAGGGAGAGGACAGGAGATGTAGTCAGAGAGGTGGTGGGGGATGAACAGCATATCACATGGTCTCTAAAAGGCACTTAAAACACTTGTAACTTAAGTAAACATAAGCAGCCAGAAAGGCTTTTGAACCAAGGAATGGAAATCTGACTTACATTTCCTAAGGAACACATTGGCTGCCATGTGGAAAACAGATGTCAGGGTGGGAAAAGTGGGAGCAGGGCAACCAGCCGAAAGTTGGCTATAATAATTCAGGAAAGAAGTTTGGCTATTTAGACTAGGGCAACAGAGCTGGGCAACAGACAGAAGTAAAACAGACGGGAGAGTCATGCACAAGGACACACAGTTGCTTGCTTCTTACCTAAATTCCCTTCTCTTTGGGTTACTGTCTCCATCATCCAAAACTTTTCTTCCTTTAGGAAGTGGAAAGTATCTCTGTGGAGTGGTTGATGTCCTGTGAACATGAAAAGTCATGTGCTTAATGCTAATACATCCTAGAAAAAAATCGAATAAGTAAAATTTACTAGAAACTTAGGTTCCCAATGCATACTCAAACTTGAACACTCCAAGATACAAAGCCACTCCTGGTCCTGACGTTCCCTTACAAAGAGCGCCTGTCCTCACCTACTGAGAGCAAGTTCCTGAAGTTCTCCAGCATCACTTCTCGGTACAGTTTCCTCTGGGCAAGGTCCAGCAGCCTCAGCTCTTCCTCACTGAAGACCACAGCCACATCCTTGAAGGTCACTGCCTCCTACAGCATCAAACATATGCAACCTCAGTCTCATGACCAATGACTACTGAGAGAGGGGTGGCACAGAGCAAACAGAGGGGAGGGAAGACAAGCTGTTTTGGATCTTGAGAGACATAGGTCAACACATAGATTTCCTTTTTTTATTATTTATTTTATTTATTTATTTATTTATTTATTTTTGAGACAGTCTTGCTCTGTTGCCCAGGATGGAGTGCAGTGGCGTGATCTTGGCTCACTGCAACCTCTGCCTCTCGGGTTCAAGTGATCCTCCTACCTCAGCCTCCTAAGTAGCTGGGATTACAGGTGCCCATCACCATGCCTGGCTAATTTTTGTATTTTTAGTAGAGATGGGGTTTCACCACATTGGCCAGGCTGGTCTCAAACTCCTGACCTCAGGTGATCCGCCTGCCTTGGCCTCCCAAAGTGCTGGGATTACAGACATGAGCCACTGCGCCCAGCCAACTCATAGATTTTCTACTCATTATGTCTGTATCCTGACAATGATGGATTTTCCTGAGCTCCACCAGAAGTTCAATGACGGAAAAGACCTCCTGTAAGTTTACTTTGTGCACTTACTGAGTCTCCTTGTAAGTAACCCTGTAGGACTCAATGCAACATCCTGGGCTGCACGGATATAGGTTTCAATGAATCCTGCCAACTGCCCCAGTAACATTTAGCAGTTCAGTCCCAGTCTTGTCTGATAATTCCCATTGTTCTCATACTTGAACCCTGAATGTTATCATTTTTCTTTAATATCTGCCACCAAACTAACAAGCTTGTGGTAACCTGTGTGGGACAGCTATGCAGTACATCCTCTGTACTCTCAAGGCATAAACTACATACATTAATTGCAGCATTGATCTATGATCTGCAGACAGTGTGCCTAGGAGCACATCCCAAGGCTCTGTGCCTTCCTGGTCACATGACCTTGGACAAGTTCACCTATTTATTCCCTCTCTAATAATTTTCATATTATAGTTTTTTCAGTGATTAAACAAGGAAATACATGGAGCATTGGGAAAGTTGATCAGTACAAACTAAATACCTAATAAACACTAGCTTTTTAAAATTATTTTTTATTATTACTGTCATTGTTGCCATCCATTTCATCTCATTTCACGTCTGCACAGTATTCCAAAGAATTGATAATCTATTTTTATCTACTCTAAATAATCTTTAATTTTATATATGCTCATTAATACCAATCCTGTAAAAAAAAATTTGGTTAGATTTTACTCCTGTTTATTTAAAATAATTTTAAATGAAAATTAAAATGTCAATAAATAGGCATATTTAAAATTGTGATCATATAATATCAGGTCTCAATTTTTTTACCAAACTCTGATCTTTCAAGAGGATACATGTACACTGATTTGTCTTACCATAATCAAGAGCAGGTTATCAATTTTCCCATGAATTTTGTAATCATATTAGGAAGAATTTAACAGTTTCACTTATTTGATTATAAATAATACCATCGCCTTTTCAAATATTTATTGGCCATCTCAGTTTCTCCTTTTAAACTTACCTGTTAATGCCCTTTATTCATATTCCTTTGGATTTTCTTTTTCTATTCTGTACATAAGATTCTTATGTTGGATTTTATCTTTTTTAGATATACAAGTAGTGAATATTTTCGCTCTAGGCTGTTATATTTTCTGATAACATTGTGTGCGGTATCCTTTACCATATTGAAAGTAAAGATTTTCTATCATGACTATGGTTATCACTGTCCTTGAGTGCCTAGAGCATTGGGTCCATCTGAGTAGGTGTCAAGTCAGGAAGAAAGAAGGTCACCCCGAAATGGTGCCTGGGAGGAGCAGTGCCACATGTGGATGCTGGCTCTCGGGTTGGCACAACACAACAAGCTATAATTGCTTAACTGCAGCTTCACACAAGGATTATTGGAGGTGTTCACACAGGAGGAGCTAGATTCTGTTTCTCCCATGCTATATCTCTGTTGTACTCCCTAAGTCTTCCCAAGACTGAGAAGAACATCTGAGAATACGAGTAGTCAGATGAAATACGGTCAGGCACGGTGGCTCACACCTGCAATCCCAGCACTTTGGGAGGCTGAGATGGGTGCACCACCTGAGGTCAGGAGTTTGAGACCAGCCTGGCCAAGATGGTGAAACACCGTCTCTGCGAAAAATACAAAAATTAGCCAGGTGTGGTGGTGTGTGCCTGTACTCCCAGCTACTGGGGAGGCTGAAGCAGGAGAATTACTTGAACTCGGGAGGTAGAGATTGCAATGAGCCAAAATCAGGCCATTGCACTCCATCTTTGGTGACAGAACAAGACTCCATCTCAAAAATAAAAAAGAAATTTTAACAGCAAGAGAGGCAAGCTGTATTCACCTTCAACATGTTCATTTTTCCTCCTATTTCAGGGAATATTCAGAGTCCTGAGTGATGCAGTCCGAGGGAAAGCAGAATCCTGCCTGGAAAGTACTAGGGAAAGCAGAAAAAGAGACATGAAAGTGTGGCCAGGGATGCCGTCCACCAACACGAATGTGTATTGTAAATGAACACATGAATGTTCACAACAGCATCATTCATAGTAACCCAAAACTGCACACCAACAAATGCCCTCCTATGAGTACAGGGATAGACAAATTGTGGCCTATTCTTACAATGGAATCTTATTTGGAAATTAAAAGGAATGAAGTACTGTTCATGCTACACCACACATGAACTTTGTGAACTATGCTAAGTGAAAGAAGCCAGTCACATAGGAAGGCCCACATATTGCATGATCCTATTTCTATGAAGTTCCAGAGTAGGCAAGTGTATATAATGAGAAAGTAAGTAGGTGATCTCTGCATATTTGAGGTGAGAAAGAGGATTTAACTATAAGTGGGCATAAGGAGTCTTAATGGGGGATGAAAATGATTTAAACTGAATTATGGTGATGTTTATTCCACTCCACAAAGTTCCTAAAAATCATTAAAGTGCCAAGTGTGGTGGCTCACACCTGTAATCCCAGCACTTTGGGAGGCCAAGGCGGGCAGATCACGAGGTCAGGAGGTCAAGACCGTCCTGGCTAACACAGTGAAACCCTGTCTCTACTAAAAATACAAAAAATTAGCCAGGTGTGGTGGCGGGTGCCTGTAGTCCCAGCTACTTCGGAGGCTGAGGCAGAAGAATGGCGTGAACCCGGGAGGCGGAGCTTGCAGTGAGCCAAGATCGCGCCACTGCACTCCAGCCTGGGCAACAGAGCGAGACTCTGTCTCAAAAAAAAAAAAAAAAAAAAAAAATCATTAAAGTGTACACATGAAATAGGTAGATTCTATGATATATAGAATACACCTCAATAAAATTGGACAAAGTATTGGTAATTGTTAATCCACATGTCATTTAACTTAATAAGACTGGATTCTGCATCCACACTGATAGAATATTTATGGTTGAACGAATGAATAAGCAAATGAAGGAGGAGGGGAAGCTCACCTTTACAGTAGAATGTGCACTAATAAATGTATTTCTCCTTAAAAATTTTTATTTAACTAAAAAATTAGGGAGTGTATATTGAGAGCAACTTGAATTTGTGTTCCCAGGATTAAAAAAAAAAAAATTCAAAACAATAACTTTACAATGCAGAAATCTGACAAACATGACTTTGGCCAAGTGAAAAAAGTTGAGATCACCAATGAAGTGACAAACTGACATATGCCCCTGTTATGTTGCAATAAGAAATTTACCACTTCGGGCTGGACACGGTGGCTCATGCCTGTAATTCCAGCACTTTGGGAGGCAGAGGCGGTTGAATTACCTGAGGTCAGGAGTCTGAGACCAGTCTGGCCAACATGGTGAAATCCCGTCTCTACTAAAAATACTAAAATTAGCCGGGTGTGGTGGCAGGCACCTGTAATCCCAGCTACTTCGAAGGCTGAGGCAGGAGAATAGCTTGAACCCGGGAGGTGGAGGTTGCAGTTACCTGAGATCGTGCCATGCACTCCAGCCTGGGCGACAAGAGCGAAACTCCGTCTCAAGGAAAAAAAGAGAGAGAGAGATTTACCACATCTGTGGTATTCCCGCAAAAAAAAGATGCATATATTGAAGTTAAACATGAAATACATCAGAAAACTCAAAATGAACATCTTTGACCAAAATAACTTCATCTATACTCTTCAAAAATAACAAGGATAAAATATCAAGAAAAAAAGATGAAAGCTATGCTATTTTTCGAGATTAAAGACTAGAAAAACCTGACAACTGAAAGCAACACCCATGCCCTAAGACACATCCTATACACACTCGTTTGGGGTGAGCATCTCTGTCAAAGAAAAAAGCCAAGGATCACTCACGTAGAGCTTTGCCCTCAGAAGCCAAAAAGTCCTTCCCTGCAGCTCTTTTGGAAAGGTCGGGCTGGGTAAGGAGAAGGCTGTGAAACACCCTGACCGTGGTCGCCGTGCGCCATAAAAGTTAAATGCGCCTCTTCCTTCATGGAAGTGGACGCAACCCTCGCTTTCCTAAAAAAAGAGGTCAGAAGGCGTCCGGAATCATCCAGCGTCCTGCAGGGATCAGGGAGAAGGGCCGATGCCCCTGCAGCTGGAGCTCTCACCCCACCCGGGGACCGGCTTCGTGGGAAATTAACAAGAGACCACCAGTCACCAAGTGACAGGGGTTGCTTTAAGGCTCTCATTTGTGTTACCTCTTCCAGTTCCCAAAACGATTCTATTAGGATGTTCCTAAAGTCCCCATCTTAAAGAACAGTAACGGTAGACCCAAGGAGATTAACATCCTAACGTTTTATCGCGAGGACGTGGCCACGCGCGTGGGGTGCAGGGAGGCGGAGTGGGCGAGCTCAGAGCCCCGGATACCCTAAAACCAGGCGAGACGCAACCCGACAAAGTCCCAAACACCCACGGGACGCGAGGACAGCCCCAAGCCCAAGAAGGTTCCACTGACTAGAACGAAAACAGCGGCCCTCGCCCCGCCAAACCTCTGCTGTCCGACGAGGCTTCTTTTCCCCTAATTCGATCACCAGTTGGTTGAGGATCCAATGCGTAGGTCCAGGAAATTCAGAAGGGTCCCGCGGAACTGACCCAAACCACCGGGGACAAAACTGCAGCAACCTTACAGTCCCGGAGCGGAAGTGCCCGCTACTCCACAGAGCGTCTGGACTCCACTTCCCAGAATTCCTGAGCCAAACTGACCGCGACGACCCCGAGCGACTGGACTACACTTCCCAGAATTCCCTGGGATCCGCCTGCCGGAGCCAAATTGACCGCGACGCCACTGAGCGTCTGGACTACATTTCCCAGAAATCCCGATTCGCCTGCCGGAGCCAAACTGACCGCTACTCCACTGAGCACCTGGACCACCGTTACCAGAATTGCCTGTGTACTCCTCCTGGAGCTAGTGTGTGCGACTCCATAGAGCATTTGGATTACACTCCTCCGAATGCCGAAGGAAAAACGCTCAAAATCTCATTCTTCAGGGGGAAGCGTTGCAACTCCGGGGTGCCCACTGGGAACGAATCCCAAAGCCACGAGCGCCTGCCTGGTGAGGAATGTGAACTGTTATCCTGAGAGTCGTCCTTCTCTCTCCCTGGTTCAGGACAGAAAATATTGAATAGACGGGAATTCCTGAAGTCTAAACGCCTCCAACGATAAGAGGAGTGTTATTGGAAAGGGAACAAGCAAGAAGACGCAATCTTCGAGGAGTTAAGTTTTGCTAATCTAATGGTAAGAAGTGGTATCTAAATGTAGTTTTAATTTGTATTTGTTCTTTTGTAAATAAAGTGGAACATCCTTGCATATTTTCTGTTGCCATTATTATAGTGTTTGTGAATTGGTCAAATGTTTTACCCACATTTCTATTGAGTGTTTAGTCTTTTTCCCTCCGTTAAGTATTATTTACAGGTTCATACTAACATTGTAGCAAATATTGCTCAACCAAAAAGCTTTTCCTTTGACTTCTGTTTTTCGCTATGCAGAACGTTTTTAACATAGTCGTTTTATTATTTAAAAAACATTTTTGAGGTGTAATTCACAAAACAAAATTATTTTAAGGCACGTAATTCAATGGCAATGGCATCTAGTACAAATAGAGTGTTGTTGATGTAGGAGTTAAGAAGCAATCACTTAGGCAGATAGGGTATGGGAGCCCTCGGTAAGGGTTTTCTGTTTAATGAAAAACAGCCCCAAATTATTTCCCTTCCTAAGGAAGAGCAGCCTGTAAAATGGAGCTGCGGCAGACATAGATACCACCAGTTGTGCCAATCATGTTCAAGATGGCGGTTCCATCTTCCCTTCTCTTTGCCAGCCACGTGCACAGTAAGGAGTAGACAAGATGGGCCAATCAACTGGGAAGTCTATTTGCATAAGAAGTTTAGGGTGGGGCGACCAGCCTTCCCCAGGCACTATGTAAACGTCATAACTGATCGAACCAATCTGTGACGCCTATGTAAATCTGACAGTGCCTCCTCAAACTGGACTGTAAAACTCAGCACATTCGCTGCCAGCCGACCCTCTTCCGCTGGGAGACCCCTTCCTCTATAGAGTAACCCATTTCTCTTTCTCTTCTCCCTATTAAACCTCCGGTCCTAAACTCCTCTTGTGTGTCCCTGTCCTAAATTTTCCTGGCGCTTAACGACGAACCCTGTGTTTATACCTCAGACAACGTAGCTGCTTCATTGTGAAACCACCACCTCTTGAATTCCAAAACATTTTTATCACCCAAAGAAAACCCCATGCCCACTAAGCAAATCACTACTGTTGTCCATAATCCCACTCCTGGGGAAACATTAATCTTTCTCTCTTTTCTATTACCTGTTTTGGACAAATCATAAAAACGAATGGAAGCTTTTGTTTCTAACTCCCTTTGCTTAGCATAATATTTTTAATGTTATTCACATCATATCACATATCAGTACTTCATTCCTTTTCATAGATGAATAATATTTTATGTTTATACTACAATTTGTTTCTGCATTCATACGTTGATGCACATTTGGCTTCTTTTCACCTTTTGGCTGTAGTGAACAGTGTTACTACAAATGTTCATGTACAGGTATTTGTTTCATTACCAGCTTTCAGTTTTTTGTTTGGTTTTGTTATTTTTGGAGACGTTGTTTCGCCTCCTGCTTTCCAGCAATTCTCCTGCCTCAGCCTCCTGCGTAGCTGGGATTACAAGCATGCACCACCACGCCCGGCTAATTTTATATTTTTAGTAGAGATGGGGTTTCTCCATGTTGGTCAGGCTGGTCTCGAACTCCCGACCACAGGTGACTGGCCCGCCTTGGCTTCCCAAAGTGCTGGGATTACAGGCGTGAGCCACCGCGGATTACAGGCGTGAGCCACCGCGCCCAACTGTGTATTCCACTTCTTTCTGCTGCTGAGACAATAATTTCAGATGACTTATCTTTATATTCACTCATTCTGAAGATAATATAGCAAGAGTAGGGAGATGAATATTAGGTGCACTTACCTATGGCTTCAGAGCCTGCACAAACACAATCTCATATACACCACTTCCAAATGGAATACTAATCTGCACATGTAACTTAAAGAGATGCAGGGGTCGACACCCAATTCATGATGGAAAGCATAAGTCACATGTTAATTTTGTGGTCTGTGGTCAAGTGTTCTGTCCCTTTTAAGGCCCCTAGTGGCCGGGCGTGGTGGTTTACGCCTGTAATCCCAGCACTTTGGGAGGCCAAGGGGGTGGATCATGAGGTCAGGAGTTTGAGGCCAGCCTGCCCAAGATGGTGAAACCCCATCTCTACTAAAAATACAAAAATCAGCCAGGCACGGTGGCGGGTGCCTATAATCCTAGCTACTCGAGAGGCTGAGGCAGGAGCATGGCTTGAACCTGGGAGGCGGAGGTTGCAGTGAGCCAAGATTGTGCCACTGCACTCTAGCTTGGGCCACAGAGCAAGACTCCATCAAAAACAACAACAACAACAAAAAAACCCTAGCAAAATGAAAAGCTTCTTCTCAAGAGGAGAGTAAATATATGCAGAGGATGGCAGAGATTTGCTTCAAAATCCTAAGCATCTGAATTTTGATTCTCCAATTAGGGCCAGCCATAGGCTTCAAACATCACTATCTGCCACTGACATTGCAAACACTTTTGGACCTCCGGGATCATAGGGTTTTAGTGGCAGAGAAGCTTACGTGGCAGCTGGGACATATTATACAAACTCGTCTGGGACAAGTCAAAAAGTTTTTAGGTCACTCATAAAAGTCAGAGTAGCACAATCAAAACAATAAGTTGCATCCAATATCAAAAGTGGTACACTAAGCATTGTGACACTTTTCTTTGCTTGTAGCGGGGGTGATATGCCCTACTTGTCCTATACCTTAGAAAAGATATCACTTTAACTTAACACACTTAAGATATTACTGTGGTGTATACCTGATGAGTTAGCATCTGACAATAGTTTGAATATGTATCCCCTCCAAATCTCATGTTGAAATATGACCTCCAGTGTTGGAGGTGGGGACTATTGGAAGGTGCTTGGTCATGGAGGCAGATCCTTCATGAACACTGGTGTCCCCACCAAGGTAATGAGTGAGTTCACACTATTCACACAAGAGCTGGTTGTTTAAAAAGATCATGGCATAAAAAAATTAAAAATGCATGGAAGTACAAAATGGAAAAATGCCTGCAAATCCTCATTGCCAGCCAAGATCAGTAAAAATATTCATTTACACAGTATGTAAACACTTAAAAGAATATAAAACACACAAAGATATTTATTTGATTAGGTTATGAAAGCTAAAAAAAGCCACATTTTCTCCTTTTGTTATTGTGTCTATGTCATCATCTCATTGATTTCATGTTATTATAGGAATAAATGCAATTCACACAAATTCCTGTTCTTGAACACTTGTTCTTTCCGTTTTAAAATGGAGTGACATCAATGTGGTCTTCTACTTTTTGGAGTTTTAGTGTCATAGGCATAATTTCCTAACCTATGGTTTTTATATCAAACAGTTGCACCTTATACATTCTGACATGTTCTGCTCTCCAAAAGACATATTTTTACTGCCAGCAATAAAGAGGAGGATTTAAGTGTTATTCCTGCCCCCAATAATGAATATATTTGATGAAATTACCAAACTCCATTAAGTTTCTCTTCCTGTTTCATAGAGTTGGTGGAAGAATATTGGATAAGAAAGTTGACAAAAGTTGTCCTTCAAATTTAGAATATTTTATACCAGAAAAAAAAAGAAATTGTACAGCAATTAAAAGGCAATCATACCAAGGCCTGCATAGAAATCACAAATCATGATCAATCTAGGATTGACTAAGAAAATTTCTGTCAACGTACATCTGGCACTTTAAAAGTGTTACCGTAAATCTTGCCTTAATACTGTTGAGAACACGTAATTGTAAAATATGCAGTGGCCTGTCATTGCAAAATTAACCAAACCTTTTCAGTCTATACTGTGAGAAAAACTACAAAAGATGGTTAAATTTATACCGTATAAAGCAATGAACATTTGATAGAGCCACAAATAATAATCCAACTTAAGAACACAGGATGGGGGGAAGTCAGGAGCCAAGTGCAATAAAATAATATTCAATGAATATTATAAATCTGATCAAGAAAAAAAAGGAAAAAATAATAACATTCAAAATATTGCTATGGATTGCAGTACTGAGTTTACTCTGCATTTCAACTCATGTTTCCCAGAATTATTTTTTGCAGGCTTTCCTTTTTGGATACATAAAATTGTATCCAAATCCATACATATGTTTTATCCTTTCATTGATTTGACAAACAAGTACTGAACACATACCAAGTGCTAATCAATGTTAAGGCTGTGACGATTTAGCAGTAAAGAAAGACACATGTAGCTTACATTCTAGCAGACGTCAATTTTGGCATGTCCACCGTTAGAGTTCAGCAAATTCATGAACTCTTACTCTTTCTAAGGCCTGTCTCCTGAATGATAGCTGTAATTATCAAACTTCTGAATGAAGCTTTATTGCACCATTTACAAGGATTCTCCACTATGGTGGTCCTGAGACTACTGGGGCAGTTATGGCTGAAGCACTGATGTTATCTTAAACAAAGGTTTTACCTCTTCCAAGAATAGGTGAAATTTATCATCAGCATGGATTCAGAGATAAAGTACTCAAAGGGAAGTGCTTACTATGTGCCTCATATTTTAATGTTTCTCTCCTTTGTGAACTTTCAGATGAGATTGCATTCATGAAGACTGAGTGAAGACTTTATCGCACCATCACATCACTAAGGTTTTTCTCCAACATGAACATTCTGATGAAGCTGAAGACTTGAGGCCCGACTAAAGCACATATCACACTCCCGACACTTCCATGTTTTCTCTCCCACGTGGACCCTCTGATGCACCTCAAGATTCAAGCGCCTGTTGTAGCCCTTCCCACAGTCATCACATTTGTATGGCTTTTCTACACTGTGAACTTTTTCTTGTACTTTAGAGAATGAATTCCATACAATGTTCTTCCCATGCTCCTCACATTTGAGAGGTGTTTCCCTGCTGTGGCGTCTCTGATGGGTCAGACGAGTTGAGGACCATCTGAAGCCCTTCCCACACTCATCACATTTGTATGGCTTTTCTCCAGTGTGCACTCTTTGATGAGAATGAAGCTGTGAATTCTGAGTAAATCTTTTCCCACACTCTTCACATTTGAATGGTTTTTCTCCACTGTGCAGTCTCTGATGTTTCAAAAGACATGAGGCCCAGCCAAAACTCTTCCCACATTCTTTACAATTATATGGTCTCTCTCCTGTGTGGACCTTCTGGTGCATATCAAGATTAAACTTACTATTGTAGCCCTTTCCACACTTCTCACATTTGTATGGCTTTTCTCCAGTGTGGACTCTTTGATGGGAATGAAGATGTGAATTTTGAGTAAACCTCTTCCCACACTCTTCACATTGGAATGGTTTTTCTCCACTGTGGAGTCTCTCATGTTTCAAAAGGCATGGGGCCCGACTAAAGCTCTTCCCACATTCCTTACAATTATACAGTTTCTCTCCTGTATGGACGCGCTGGTGAAAGTCAAGATCCAACCTCCTTTTGTAGCCCTTCCCACACTCCACACATTTGTATGGTTTTTCTCCACTATGGGATCTCTGGTGGGAATAACATTGTGAATTTGTGTAAAATCCTTTCCCACATTCTTCACATTTGAATGGTTTTTCTCCACTGTGGACTCGCTGATGTTTCAAAAGGCACGAGGCCCATCTGAAATTCTTCCCGCAATCTTTACAATTATATGGCTTCTCTCCCGTGTGAACCATATGATGTGTATAAAGATCTCGCCTGCAAATAAAGCCTTTTCCACACTCCTCACATTTGTATGGTTTCTCTCCTGTGTGGATCATGCGATGACTATTAAGTGCTGATCTCTGACGAAAGCTCCTACCACACGTATCACATCGGAATGGTTTCTCTCCCGTGTGAACCATGGAATGCCTATTAAGTCTTGATCTACCACAGAAGCTCTTACCACATATATCACATTTGAATGGCTTCTCCCCAGTATGGATTCTCTGGTGTTCTTGAAGCTGGGAATCGTGAATGAAGGCCTTCCCACATTCCTCACAATTATAAGGTTTCTCTCCTGTGTGTAATTTATGATGAACATTAAGCGCTGATCTACGACTGAAGCCTTTCCCACATTCCACACATTTGAATGGTTTCTCTCCAGTGTGGACTCTCTGATGAGTTTGCAGATGTGAGCTCTGACTGAATTCCTTACCACACACATCACACTTGTAGCATTTCTCTCCCATGTGGACTCTCTGATGAATACGAAGGGCTGAGATGTAACAGAAGCTTTTTCCACACTCATCACATGTATGAGACATCTCTCCTGAGTGTAATTGTTGATGGAAATCAAAGATGGAGACATCACTGAAGGACTGTTTATATCCATTGCCCTGGGAAGATTTCTGTCTTGTGTGAATTACAGACAGTCCTGCCTCAGACTGGCTGGGGAAATCACCTTCTCTGGAGAACTGAGAGCTATTTATCACCAAGTCTTGAGACCTAGTTAAATCACTTGCAATTTTTTCCCAGATTTGCTGGCAGGACCACTCTTGATCTGTTCCTGCTTCTGAAATAATCTCCATCTCAGTTTGGATCTTGTCTCCTATCAGAATACAGAATTAAAAGACGAGGACAAGTGAAGCCTTTGTTCAGTGTTATCAAGATTTCACTTAGGCCATGGCATGAAACTCTCAAGAGTACAGGCAACATTCAGTTTTTATTTTTCAAGTGCACCATAATTTCCAGTTTGGATGAGGCCAATTTCGAACTAAACCAAGTATCATATGTAAAATGCTTGGTAGAAATAAAAGACTTACAAAAAACAATAGATGTTGACATGGGTGTGGTGAAAAGAAACACTTATATACTGCTGGTGTGAATGTAAATTAGTACAACCTCTATGAAAAGCAGTATGGAGGCCGGGCGCGGTGGCTCAAGCCTGTAATCCCAGCACTTTGGGAGGCCGAGACGGGCGGATCACGAGGTCAGGAGATCGAGACCATCCTGGCTAACACGGTGAAACCCTGTCTCTACTAAAAAGTACAAAAAACTAGCCGGGCGAGGTGGCAGGCGCCTGTAGTCCCAGCTACTCGGGAGGCCGAGGCAGGAGAATGGCGTAAACCTGGGAGGCGGAGCTTGCAGTGAGCTGAGATCCGGCCACTGCACTTCAGCCTGGGCGACAGAGCGAGACTCCGTCTCAAAAAAAAAAAAGAAAAGCAGTATGGAGATTCTCTAAAGAACTAAAAGTGGATCTACCATTTGATCCAGCAATCCCACTACTGTCTGCCCAAAGGAAAAGAAGTCATTACATCAAAAGGACACCTGCACGCCTATATTTATTACAGCACAATTCACATTTTCAAAGATATGGAACCAACCTAAGTGCCTATCAACCAACGAGTGGATAAAGAAAATGTGGTATATATACACCATGGAATACTATTCAGCCATAGAAAAATGAAATAATGTCTTTTGCAGCAACTTGGATGGAGCTGGAGGCCATTATTCTAAGTAAAGTAACTCAGGAATGGAAAACCAAATACCATGTTTTCACTTAGAAGTGGGAGCTCAGCTATGGGTATGCAAAGGCATACAGAGTGATATAATGGACTATAGAGACTCAAAATGGGGAGGCTGGAAGGCAGGGTAAAGGATAAAAAGCTACAAGTTGGGTACAGTGTATACTACTCAGGTGATGGGTACACTAAAATCTCAGACTTCACCATTAGGCAATTCATCCATGTAACCCAAAACCACTATACCCCAAAAGCTACTGAAAAAAATTTTTTTTGAATAAAATAAAAGACAATAATAAAATTAATATGATACAAACATTATACCTGCTACTCTTCCTAGTGAATTTCCTAATCAGTCTAAAATCTTGCATGGTAAATTATGAAACTAATAAATTATGTATATAATAAAATATGAACCAAACCCAACTTTAAAGAAAAGTAATATAATCAATACTTGGTACATTTGTGTTTATATTGTGTATCCTTACAAAGTAAAGATATTAACCTCACTCAAAATGGGGTCTGGATGTTCTCCTCAGGATCTAAGAGGTAATTTCTAGGAGTTTATGCCTGAGGAGAGTGTCTTTGTTTGTTTGGAGGCAAAACTAGGTCACTGGAAAGTGAAGCAATATGATTTAGGGTTGTGGCTGGCCACGCCTTTGGGGGTTGGTGCCCCCCATGTCACAAAGAGCAATGTGATTTAAGGTGGGGCTTTAGGTTACACGCAATCAGTGGCCCAGGAGACTGACTAGCCACATGGGAATCAATCAACAAATAATGGCTATGTAATGGAGCCTCAAAAATTACTTGTAAAACCAGGGCTCAGGTGAGCTTTCCTGATTCGCTGTACTCTCTACGTCACACCTTAATTCTAGGAATGTAACGCATCCTACTTTATCGCAAGAATACAAGATCCTCATTTGGTACTTCCCAGAACTGTTTCTTATTTTTCTCTTGGTGAAATGTAATGTGCACCTCTACCCTGTAAATATCCATAACTTTTAGTGTAAAAGCATTCAGTGAGTTCTGCTTGCCTTTCTAAGTAATTACTGAATGTGAAGGTAGTTTTGGAAAATCCCCACACTTGCAGTTGGTGTGAAGTGAGAATGATCTTCTGTAAACTCTTGCTCTAAACTGTGTAGTCAGTTAAACTCTTCACAATAATATCAAAGGCCTATGAGTGTTTATATCTACATATTCATAATATTCCTATACAAGAATTTTGCATAACATGTATCTTTAATTTTATTTTTCTGTAGATGTGAACAATACTTTGGTTATCTGAAATAGGTAAGAAACACAACAGCAGTTTTGATGGGAATCTGAAAGGTTGGACCTGACAGGGGGCATACAAAGGGTGATGCTCCTGATGAGAAAATGAAAGGTGATGAGAACACTTGGGATAAAAAGAATGCCTGAGGGGTCATGCCCTGGTTGGTTCCATGGGGGAGTATTAGACTCTCATTAAAAAAAAAAAAAAAAAAGAGCAGAGGCTAGGCGCAGTGGCTCACGTCTGTAATCTCAGCACTTTGAGAGGCCAAGGCAGGTGGATCGCTTGAGCCCAGGAGTTGGTGACCAGCCTGGTTAACATGGTGAAACCCTGTCTCTACTAAAAATACAAAAATTAGCCGGGTGTGGTGGCGCATGCCTATAATCCCAGCTACATGGGAGGCTGAGGTATAAAAATCATGTGAACCCAGGAGGCAGAGGTTGCAGTGAGCTGAGATCATGCCAATGCCCTCCAGCATGGGTGACAGAGTGAGACCCTGTCTCAAAAAAAAAGAAAAAAGAAGAAAAAAGAGGGCAGAAAATATATGACATAGATAAATATGCCTTTATACCTATTTCCAAATGGCATAATATAGACAAGAAGTGAGCTGTGAAATAAATTTAAAACCTTCTAATGAGCATTTAGGAAAAAAGAACTAGAAAAGAAATGATCACATCTTCATGACAAGCAAGAAAGGTATCATTTCATGAAATGCCTACTAAAGTAACCCATAAACATCTACATGCATGAAAAATGTTTGTCCTGGTTATGGTGAAAGATGTGTTTCTTACTATGACTCACACTCATAAAAATGTTGAAAACTTTGGTCAGGATATTACCAAGTCCTAAATTAAGTCAGTCAGATGGAAAGATAACTTCCAAGGCTGAATCTCGGAAAACAGTAATAGGTAAATGTGTACCCAATGGTACACACTGGAATATGGATATATTTAACACACTGTTACTTAAAGAGGTTTTTGGGGAGGAGAGAGTCTCTTTCAGGGTGTTGATGTTTTGAGAGGACAGTTTCCTGATTCCTTCCAAGTTATAAAGTTGAAAATAGAGCACTAGGTCTCTAAAAAATAAAGGAAAACATTATGTTGTAAAAATCTATATTCTTTTATGTTTTTAACAATTAAATTTGCAAACAATGATGAAGATGGAGAAATATACATATTTTTGAACAAAGATGACCAGAAATGTAGGCAATGTTCTGCTGCGTGAATTGTGTTGCTCTCTTCCTCATCCTTCCCCATCCAGGAGAAGGAGAAACCTGGGGTCAGTGACGTGCATGCAGACTTTGGAAAGGCAAATGGGCTGCAGATGGGTAAATGTCTCAAAGGAAAGCTATCTGGGAAGCTGGTTATTATCTGACACATCACAAAATGGAGATTTTTTTTCCCCTTGTAGAAAAGCTGTCTCACTAGCAGACATCAGCATGCTCATTCAAAAATGATTTCCTTCCAGAAATGAGTATGCTTCCTATGAAAAGCTCCAGGATAAGTCACAGGGAAGGCATATTGATCAGTGTGGTAATAAAAATAATGCTTAGAAGTTTCCATGCGATGTGGGCCCACTGTAAACACACAATGTAGTCAAATAAGGGAATCTAAGAATGTTCTAATTAAATACATGGCCACTGGAAGACAAAAAACATGTTCTGCAATATCTCTCTTTCAGCGTAGTTTGTGTTTCACTTCTTAGCTCTCTCCATGATTCCAGGAGACAGTGAAGTCACCCCATTCAATGGCTCATACATCAGGTTAACAAATATTTGGAAACCTGCTATGTACCGGGACTATTCTAGACACTGAAAATACAGCCAGAAGAGTTAAAATTTCTTAGACATTACAGTCCAGCAGGTAGAAGTGACAGATAAACAGAAGTTTATGAGACTTGGTACAAGACAGCACAAGAAGAATCAAAATAGAACGGAATTATAGACAGTGGTTTGGGATGGCTTCTCTCATGACTTTAAAACTGAAAAGAAACCTGAATAACTGAAGGAGATGCCAGAA